CGGAAGATGACTCAAAAGATACGCATGATTTGTGGGAGTTGCAAAAATTGTGTAACAAGGAGCTTATGTAATCTTCAACTTTTATTATTATAAGCAGTCAGTTTCATATTAGGCACTCAGGAAATAAGAAAATGTGAACAATTATGTATAACAAACTGAAGGTTAGATAAAGACTTTAACATATGTAGACTGAGAAAGAAAAACGGGGTATAAAGTATTAGAATTAAGTGGCTGGGGATGGGGCCTGTACACAAGCTTTTGTAAAGACGGTGATGAATCTTTGGGTTTCGGAAAAGGTATTAATTCCTTTATGACCTAAGTTAGTATGAACAGTTGAACTGATACTCTGCACTACATCATTAATTCCTTATAGAGTGATTAAAAATCCCTTTAAGTATATCAACTGTTAGAAGTGGGAAGTGATTCAGAATTCTGTTGTGCTGAAATGATACGTGTCTTCGCAAATAAGATAAAATAGTACGTGCTTGTCTACAAGAACCTGGGTAACATGTAACCTGTTGAAAATTTCTGTCTTCTGGGTTGTAGCGCTGTGTAGTCTGGTCGATGTTTACCAATGTTTCAGAGGTCATACTGCCTCCGTCATCAGGGCGACAGTAACAACCTAGAAGACATAAATCTTCATACTCACCGCTGTGAAAACCTCAAATCGTACATGTAACTTGTTGTAACCTGTATGCGTTAGTCACCAAGAGGAATATATGTTTTTACCGGTGCACAGGGACTTTTGAATCATCCTCTACTTTAACTTTGTTTACCGTAATTAAATTAAAATAAATATTTTAAGATAAGTTCTCGTATCTGTAACAAAACATCTGTATAAGTATGCATTCATTGTGCAATGGTTCAATTATTATTTATTTATTTTTAGATGTTTATGCCCGTACATTTAGCTAATGTCTGCTTTGCCTTCTCTGACTTCAGGTTGGCCCGTAGCACGTGTTATTACTATAAATGCTTTCTGGTCAAGAAACGCCTGTGGCAGTTAGCCAGTTTCTTCACGACGTTCACGCACATCAAACTTTTGTAGTTACTTCTAAACACAGACCACTCTACCACATATGTAGCAATTTCCTTGCGTCATCTTATTTAATGATAGTCTGTATAAATAGAGGTGCTCAGATAGGGGTAAATTGATAGAAGGCTATTATTTAGAAACATTTTTTTAAAAATCTACGTTGTACATCGGCAAACATGTGAATTCTGCCCCATGTAGTTACCTCCACACTTTTCTTAAATTAATTCAAATTCGTGGAATCGGGATTGGAAGAACAGACTTTGTTTTTCTCCGTTTGTCTCCGAACTGTTTTGTAGTCAGCGGAATCCCAGTTCGAATCTCGATCGGGAATGAAGTATAAATGAACTCTGTATAACACGTATAGCCAGGGCGCTTTTCATGTTGGTAAATACTGCCGGAGCGTGAGGTTTGACCACAGTCTTCCGAATGTCGGGGCATAGTCACTGCCATATCTCCATGTTCTGCTGATCCTAATTTCGACGCGCGCACAACAAAAGCTCTGAAATTATTCACAATATAGGACGCTGAATTCTCTGTGTAAATTATGACTGGACATTTCTCTGTCTTCATTTGTCTTTCTTATCTCTTAGTTTTCCTCAAAGGTGTGAACTGGAAGTGTTGGACGTTTCGGGTGAGTAACTTCGGCTTGAGCCTTTGTTTACTGGTGTTTCAATGTGTTCCACTAGTTCTGTAAGTAGCCGGCACACATTATTTGCGCCATTATGCCTAGCTTATATGATTCTTTACATTACGACCTTATACTTTTCGTTATTATTGCGGTATGCTTTATGGACTCATTGAGTGCGGTTGGTGAAGAAAGGAAATGGACGTTGAAGTGTTAAGTAAACGGAGGTATGGGTTGAAACGCAATACTGTAGCAAAAACGTCTCGATCAGAAAACTTTTTAATTAGCAGACTTTTACGTCGCCTCTCTATGTGTATGAAGGCATTGACTCTTACATATTTTATGAGACGTGGTTTTCGTTATAAGGAGCTCTGCACACTTTTCGAGCTCCTTT